TCTTGTGTACATAGACAATTTGATTGGAAAAGTACATGATTTTATGCCAAAAATATGTGTACAAATTTTATGTATAACAAGAATAACACTTTTTGAATAATAACTGTACAATACTACTGTATACTACCTCAATTCCATATTTATGTTAAAAATAAAACATGACATGCATTTTAAGATAATTCAAAAAATCAAGACAATCAAAATGGGTATGAGGGAGTAATAAATTACTTGAGGACTAAAATCAAACGCGTTAATTTCACTATAAAAAAAGAAAGCTTATTTCAATTATTAATAGGCTTTCCGTTTATCATGCCCTCGGCTTTGTTCTTTGAGCCCGCTAAAGCTTTTGAAGACAGCATGTTCGAGGCACCGTTCGACTATGCCGTCTCGGACAGAGGATTAATCCTATTTTTCTTTATTTCATATTTGTACAGTGTTATTCATATGCACAATATAATTTTTATATTCTAGAATACCATGTTGCCTTTAATAATAATAGTTATTTTTGTTTAAAAAACATATAAAAGAATAAATTGTATTTCCAAAAAATAAAGTGAGTTTTATATTTATTTGGTATTAGTAATAAGAGACATTAGTTTTCCTTATAGGATACCCAACTAAAACAATAGTTTGTGTTGAAAAATATGCGATGAAAATGTTCGTGTATTTTAAACATAAGATATAACGATGAAAAACTAATTGATATAATTTTTTTATTTAATTTAAAATTTTACATTTTTAATTTACTAATAAAACTACCTTTCAAATCACACTTAATATAGGAGAAGCATTTAACCAACAAAAAAATAGGAGAAGCATTTAAAAATACGAATTGAGATTTTCAAACTAAAACACTCAAATGGTACTGATAAAGTATAATACTCCGTATAATTATACCTCCGTCCCAAAATGGTTCATCATATTGATTATTTTTTTTGTCAATGATGGCAAATTTGAGAAAATGATTTTAATTATTATATCGTATATAATTTTAAGTTTTATACTTTTATGAAAATATTTCGAATAAGAAACATTTTGATATCATTAGTCAAAGTTGATTGTTATTAACAAAAAAAATCAATTTGACGACGAATCTTTTCAGAAAGGAGGGAGTAAGTAAATTGTGAGTACATACATACACATTGTGTGATTCTCCTAAATAAAAATAAATCATATTTATCTCTATTTTTATATTGTCCATAAAATTATAGGATTAGTATTTTATATTACATCTTAAAAAATTAATCGGCTTAATTAGAAGTATATAATAGTGACATGGTCAACGGTATGCTCCAGAAAAGTTACTCTTTTATACATTTCTATGTTCTTTTTTAGTTACAACACTTCTATTTTCACGTTTGCCAACACTATTTTGATTATTAATGTATATAATTCGTTGTAAGTAACAAAAATGATATTTTTGAAATTTAAATTGAAACGAATTGAACAACATTTTAAAAAAATGTCTAATATATTAATAAATAAAATATAACCAAAGTAGGACATGCGATTATTGTAAAAATCAACATGTTTAATATAAATATTGATTTTGTATCATTTTATTCCAATAAATAGAATTACAAGAGCACGTTGAGGTCTAAAAATTTGTAGAAAATGCACAGTGCAAGTAATTATTATTAGTCATATATATTAAATAAACTTCATCTATGTCTTCTACTATTAAAGCTAAATTCAACTCATCATTTAATTTAATTTCTTATTCCCATAAATATTGTCGCACTACCTACAATATTTTTAAAGCTAAAATTTCTACCATTAATTTAATTTCTTATTCCCATCATTTAATTTAATTTCTTATTTACATTATATTTACACATATTTTAGAAATTTTCTCCTTTTCAGTAAAAAAGCTAAAATATTATAAATTAAATAGAAATAAAACATAGCATAGTTCCTCAATTTCAAGTGTATTTTGAGAAATAAAACATAGCATAGTTCCTTAAAATTTTGAAAAGTTTTTATTCTTTGAATCTTTTAAGAAAATTGAGAATTGAGTAAGTCTTACTTTGAGAAGAAAATGTATAGTATTTACTATTTAGTCATCTTTTAGAACATTGTCCGTATTTAATCATATTTTGAGCAATTTATTTAAAAAACATTAATACAAACATTTGCGTTGAGGCTTAGTTGAGTAATTCAACTATTATTGATAACATGCAAGAAATAGTTGAGGCTATAGTTGAGTATTCCAACATTTGCTGGAAATACACATTTTTCACATGAAATTTACATTATTGATAACAATTTCACACTAAAAAATAAAGGGATGTAATGCTCGAACAACAGCTGCAAGCTTATCTTGTTGTAGTTAGTACTTATGCATTATTCTTGTTATTGGGCTTTGTTATTTTACAGCCCATTCAATAAGTGGACTAAGGTCCATATGTGTTTGTTGTTGTAAAAACTGTTATAAGGAGTAAAGGTGTCATGTTTCATCACAAGAGGTATGCATTGGATATTCTGAAGAGGTTCACAAGAGGTAGCACGAAAATCGACTGATTTGATTGATTCTGCTGAAATTTATGAAGTTCTGGCGGAAGTGTCTGGATTGGCTTATTCTGCTGATTTAAGAAAAAATTATTTTTAAAATATACTACCTTCGTCCCTTTTTAGTTTGCCAACTTTGACTTTTCCAGTCAAAGATGATAAACTTGGATCCATTATTTTAACTAATATATTTATGTAAAAGTTAATAAATTTATACTTTTATGATAGTATTTTTAACAAAGAACATTTTCATATAATTTTCTTATTATCAATATTACCGTGTATAAATATATAATCGGTCAAAGTCGAACAACTTTGATTTGAAAATTTGTGTTTGGTAAACTAAAAAGGGACGGAGGGAGTATTTTATTAATAAAATAAAGAAAAATTATATGTAATATAGCTAAAATGGTTATCTACAGTAATTTCAGCCAATACATGCATACAATCAGAAAAGTAGCTCCAGCCTTATTTTTTCTACTAATTACACAATTCAGTGTGTGAAAGCAAAAGTTACGTGTTTGTTGAAAAAGTTGGTTGATAAACTTGATAAGCCGAAAAACAGTATTGTCAAACGATCTCATGATCTTGGTCAAGAAGTAAATGAAACTTTTTGATAGGTTAGTAAAAGAGCCCCCAAAATAATTGTTGCTTGTGAGGAATGGAACGAGATTCGATTTGATTTTAATTAATCTAGTAGATACCTTAAAATGAAATGAGAAAAAGAAAGAGATTATTGGTTCGGCATAGGGGTAAATGAGCCAAGCCGCTCACAAGCTGCTCGTTGATCGCTCAGAAAAAACTCGACTCAAGTTCGGCTCGACTCGAATAGCGGAATAGTTAACGAGCTCAATTCAAGTCTATTTATTTTAGGCTCGTGGCTCGTAAGCCTGGGTGTCAATTTTATATATAATAAATATATATGTAATAATTATAACTTATACATATACTTTTTTAAAATATGTATTCTAATTTAGGACTATTCCATTTTCAATACTTTTCACAGAGTATATTATAATAACATGTGCGTAGTATTATTATCATAACCATAATCTGTACATAATAATTATAATATGTACTCTTAATATTTATTGACAATAAAATAAAGAATAAAAATGTAGTATATGAGAAGTAAACTAAAAATGAGAATGAATAAGTACACCTAATATTTTTAGCTCGAGTTCGAGCATCTTATTTGAGTTGAAACCTATAAAATTTAATTAGGGAAACTTGACCCGAGTTCAAACCAAGCTCGAGCCAAGCTCGGCTCGAGATCAAGCTCGAATTGTTTAACTTACCCAAGCTTGAGATCGAGATCGAACTCGTGAATTCTTATCAAGCTCAAGCATACCCATGTCCGGGCTCCGCTCGGCTCGTTTGCACCCCTAATTCGGAGATAAACTGATAAAGGACACATAATTGAATGCACAATGCAATGCTCAAATATGAGTAATAAAAGAAAAGTATTGAAATGTTTTTCGCAACTTGAAGAAGATAAAGTAGAGAATTGAAGAAGAAGAATTTAACAAAATAAAAATTTGAGAAAAAGGTGAACATACAAGAAAATGCAGAGTTTTTTTGGGGGGACAAGTGGAGCCCTGGAAGAGAAGAACAAACTAGAGTAAGAAAATGGTGCCACTATGGAATGAGTTGAGTTTGTGAAAACAATGTTGATCCCACATTATAATATGTTGTTAAAAAGAATACACATCCAATTAAATAATTACAGATCAAAAGTACAATTAAGATGCATTTAAAAAAAATAAGTCATGCACAACATTTTAATTTTTCAAAATAATTGCAAGTACTTTTCAATTATAAGTTTATAATGCTCAACTTTTAGATCTCATAGAGCAAATCATGCTTAAATTGACCATATCTATCTATATACAAAGCATGGTGGAAAAGCTGGCGGGTTTCCCGCCCAAAATACCGGGAGAAATTCGGGTCAAGTCGAAAATTTGAGATTGCATCCTTTGGTCGTAGGTATGAGCCGGACATATTTATTACACATTGGGTGACGCAGTAAAGCAGCTGTTGCGTAATAAGTTTGGGTTTGGGTTGTAAATTAACCGACAACATCAGTCACTTTTTTTGTTTTACAATTTTAAAAGTTGCAAGAATGAGCTGTAGTTATTAAATAAATAGGTTGCGTGTAAAATGGACATTGGATTTCGAACTATGTAGTACGAACTCTTAAATAGGTTGCGTGTGAACTGGATTTCATGTCATTAAAATTGAATTGAAAAGACATTCCATGTTATTACAAATGGGACGGGAGATGGTGACACGAGTTTTAAGAAAAGTGAGTTTGTGTGGTTGATATTAATTGATAAAGTAAGAATAAAATAAGAATGATTTTGAGCCACACAAAGTTTACCAAATAAGGTATGAGATAATTAAATAGGGACATCCCAATATGGTAAAACGGGACATTTAAAAGGGGACGGATGGAGTATTAACCATTGGCTAATTTGCATGGATAATCAAAGCTTGTTTTTAGATGGGGTATAAATAAGTCTAAGCTTTGCAGCTAAGCACCAAGCAACACACAACATAGCAACGACATTGAGAGCGAGAGTTGTAGTGGATATGTTTGCTCCAAAGAATTTCAGGGTTGGGAGACACTGGAAGTCGATTTCCATGATGGAGGTATATGATGTTTTTTAATACTTTGTTAAAAAGTGACGAATGTGTAGTTTCATCACCTCATGTGTTCTTATTAGTAGTGTTCATCTCAAGTTAACATTCAATAAAATTGACAGGGAGATGGTGTCATTAGATGCCGTCAAGAGGCAGCTATTATTGATTGGAGAAGTCGGACTCAACCACGAACAGGGGCGGACCCAGGAAGTTTATCTTGGGAGGGCGGTAACTTAAAAAATATATTTTTTGGGAGGGCGAAAATTATTTTTTGGTATATATATACACTAAAAAAAAATTTGTTGGAGGGGCCACTGCCCCCTGGGTCTCTACTACGGTCCGCCCCTGACCACGAAGCAAGATGCCGTCAATTAGATGCAAATTGGGATTAACCTATGACTCTCAATGTGAATGAACACAAAGAGCATCAGATCCATCGATGAATCTCTGAAGCAGATCAAGTAGAGGGCGATTCTAATATGGAAGATAAGAGGTGAGAGCATCAGTTTAACCGGTGTATCTTTGGCTGAACGAAAGAGGCAGCTATTGTTGATTGGATAATGAGCTTATATACTTGGGGTTAGGTAGATGCCAATTTTTTAGATCCAATATACTTGGTTAATGGCTTAAGTACTTCGCATTTGTCGTATTTTAATGAGCAAGCCCGGAAGTTTTTAGGCGTGTAATATAAAGGTTGAGTTAGATCCAAGTTTGGATTGTGGTTGTTATGTAATTGGACCGAATTGGATCCTAAATTGAATGAATTTTATTCATTTTAACTTAAAATCTGGATACATTTTTATTACATATAGTATACATTTACTGGCCGGAGTGTTGTGTTCAAATGCTACGTAGTAAAACAAAAACAAAAACAAAAAAGGATTTTGTTTTTAAATAATTGGGTTGGGTTTGATTCAAATTTTAATTGAATTTGTTTTTATGATGATAAAAAAATTGAATTTGTTTTTATTACACCTTATAATATTATATTTGTTGGTTGAATGTGAATATGTGATTAAATAATATATTTAGAGTGTGATATACACTCACACTCCGTATGAACTATACCAAATTTCAAGTTGCAAATAATGCAATTTGACATGACAGCTCATGTGACAACTACAAATAAAAGGTACGAAGTATCTCTTCCTTATTATTCTAAAACATACTTCGTACCATTTATCCTAAAACATTCTTCTTACCACACTTATCAGTCGTACTAATCTTTTTCTTAATTATTTTATTGTGTGCACTATATTTATACTTTTTGCATTCATTTCCAAATTAATTAATTGTTAACAATTAATATACTATAACTGCTACATGATCTATTTCCCGTGCATCACACTGGTGAGAAAAAAATACATTTTCCCTTCAACGATGTTTCAATCTTTCTTTAACTACGAACATTTAATATATTACTTACCACTTTATTGTGTATTCAGTTCTTTTTACACTTTTTAATAGACGTCCTAATCACAAATTGGAAGGTTTTTATCCGCGCATCGCGCGGGTGAGAAACTAGTATGATATAAACTAGATCGGACCAAATCTATGACCACATATAATTTTCCTATACAAATGAATAGGTCCTCACCAAAGATATGATAAAAAAACATTTATATTACTCCCTCCGTCCCATAATTATCTTCATTCTTTCCTTTTTGGTCCGTCCCAAATTTATCTCCTCTTTCCCTTTTTAGCAAAGGATTTGTGGTTCACAACCATTCTTACACATTTCTCTCTCCTCTGCACAACTCTCCACCACACATTTCTCACTTTCTTAATCTCCGTGCCCAGTCAAAACCGAAGTTAATTCTGGGACGGAGGGAGTACTGTTTATTTCTTTTGTAAAGACCTTCTATGAACATAACTATCTACATTAGAATGCAATTATGTACGTCAATTTCTTATATTTCATTGAAGGGTATAGAATTATAATTCTATATTAGTTTATATACTTTATATTACAATATAATGTTTTGTGTACTAGCTTCATGGCATGGATGGCATATCAATCCATCGGCATGAAGACATAGATGAAAGGTCTCCTCATGGTTTTACACAGAAGGGAAGTATCTGGAAAGATTGCATGGCAATGAATAGAACTCTGCACTCCTAGGATCTCTGTTGAAGTACTTGAACTTTGACCACCACAACCTTCCATTGTCTTTCTTGCTCTGGGAATGTTTTCTTCCCAGTGTCACATCCAAGAACATGGCCACCACACCTGCCACCATTGCCGGGGAAGTGAAGACCACTTGCATCGTTTTGTTAAACTGCAAATTCAGTTATAACCGAGTCAAAAAAATGATGACACCCCATCTTTGAAGGTCTCAGAACCGACCGGACAATATGTTATAACTTAGTCAATAAGGCAAGTCCAACTATAATTGTGACAAGATTTAAGGATAAGTACCAAATATGTCACTTTCACAACGATCTGATGACTCGAAGTGAATACATTGAAAAAAAGTTCCAAAAGTGCCATTACGAAATAATAATGAAATGACTAAATGTGAAATGACATGAAAATAGGAAATTTGTTTCTTATATGATTGTGAAATATAAAAATTCTAAACAAATGCAGAAGAATATTAGCTAAGATTTGAGGGGGTTACCCAAATGGAACTAGTTTGTACAGGACCATGATGGGTTGTGATGACATAATTGTTGAAGTATTGTGGCACCGTAAGTCCCATGAAAAATGAGAATCCTAGTATGAACTTTGTCCTTAAGCTGTTGAGGTTGCAGTAGTGAAGTAAACCAAGCCCACCAGAAGCTGTGATACCAGATAAATAGATTTTTGAAATGCGTACTTTTTTTATAGCTCTATCTAGTTTAAGCGTAATGAACCCCAAATATTATGAACTCCCAATATTTCTAAATAAACAGGCAACATGAATTGGCCGGTAATGAAGAAAAAGAAAATTATATGGTCAAAGTCTATATAGAAGGAGAAGTAATATGAACCATATAATCCTTTTTAAAATGAAGCGGGTGATGATTCTGGGATGAACTAAAAAAAGTGTGTAGATTATTTAGGGTCAAATGGTATATCAAGATGTGGTATTCTACACTAAAGCTCTTCATGAATGATAGAAAGAATAGTCTTGAGGAAGCGGTCCAGCCTAGCTGGTCGCCGACTCACTCTCCCTTACGGGAGGTCCTAGGTTCAATTCTCAATGGAGTGAGATTGACCCCAATTTACCCCAGGCCCCCCAAATCCCCCTCACCCCGACGCCCCCTGGGTTAAAAAAAAATTATTTAAAAAAGAAGATAGAAGGAATAGTCTAATGATTTATATTTTGGTTCTACTTGAGATCAATCCCTTAGAGTTGATAAAACTTACACATGAGAGGGAACAAGACACAGTAGATGGCTCCAACAATCGGTAATGGTATGGAGGCAACAACAGCGCCAAACTTTCCTGCTTATTTTCCAAATAAGTTAAATTTGTTTAATACATTTAAATTAATGTTAAACAGCTAGCTTTCCAACCTCATGATGTGAGATCATACTACTCTCACCTAGTACAGAAAAGAAGAGCATAAAAATGGCTGATATCTGAATCACCCTTCTACTCCCAACTCGTGTCAACGCAAGAAGACCTACATTTTCACTTAACAGATGGAAACAAAAGCTAAACTTAAGAAGTCTATTGAAATTTTTGCATTACAGGAAATAGATCCGTATTGATTTAAAAGACGCGAGAAAGTGACTCCAAATCAATCTGGACTTTTCATGTAGTAATTGCAATGTGGAGTTACAACATGTTTCAGAGTTAATGTTTTGTGCTTACACGGCCACTGTCGATCCAATGCCTGTTCCCCATAAACCATCAAACAGAATTCCCATTCCCTGAATGACAAAATAAAGTGAAGAATACAATGAAAGACATGTAGTAATGGCATCTGGTTTAGTGTGTTACCTACCAACCAGCCAATACCGCGGCTTATAACCGAAGGTGGTGGATGTGTGGCACTACCAAACCTTGCTGCTGCAACAAATGCCCCCGTAGACTACACACATACACAGAATCGAATAATGATCATTACTTATTAAACCGGGCAATCATTTTTCATACATAAAAAGTTTTTTTTTATTGAATTTACGAAACAACATATATCACGAGGTTCCATCTTAAAAGTCAACCTAGAAGTAGCCCATTTGCGAGTTTGAATCTTTCTATTTGATCGGTGTGAGATAACTTGGATATCCCTACCCTAAACGATACTCCATTTGTTATAGAGTTAGAAAACCCATCTCTTATATGATCCAATGATTTGTAGGTAAACCAATTTTCCATAATAAGTCAGGATGATGAATTGGAATGGGATGTAAACCTCAACTAGGGCAACAAAAGCTGATGCTATCATGACAATAATTTCTCCAGCATTAACAATTGGGGTACCCCACTGCAATGGATGTGGAATTCTTAGCCTGCATGTTAGTGAAGTCATTGGAACATATATATAATTGAAATAAGACAATATAAGACTTGTGTTTTAAAAAACAAAACCTAATGTGTGATCTCACCAGGTTGAACCACTAATGAGCCCAGAGCGGTCTATACGACAACTAAACTGAGTCTGAGCTGGTCTATGTTTGTATGCCCCTACTGCGGTCAACAGTGCAGCAAATGCCCAAACTATCCCCACGGATATAAGCACGGCATATCGATCTATTACAGGCCGGTTGCACTTTGACAATTGTGGAACATACTGTAATTTTTTTGGCAGAACACAAGTCAAAAGATTAACTCCAAATCTATAGTCCTTAATCCTAATTTCTTTATGTGTAAGAGCTAACTAATGGCAATCAGTACGTAATGTCAGAACCAAACATATTCATAAAATGAGCTAGCAGTTGAGAAACAAAAAAAACACATTTGTTACCTGAGAAAGCAATATTAGGAAAATAATCTCTGGGAGCCCAATCTCTACACATTCTGCTAACTGCAACAAATAGAACAAACACAACATAAATTCATCGTAAGTGTTTCCTTAATTCAACATCAATATGGTATTGTCCGTTTCGAACCAATCTTAGACAAATTTTGATTTTGGGCACCTCCTAAAAGAACTCACACTCGCCCAGTTAGATGGACACTTATATTCAAGATGGCTCTCCTTTATTTTGTCAATTTGTTGGAACTTAGGCTGCACCTTAATGTAGGTCAAGCTTAATTATTACATGTAGCGCTTATAGTTGAAGTTAGATTACCAATGGGAAACCACGTTCATACAGCCCAAAGCCGACAAGTGTTACCAAAGGAACAGCAGAAAGAGGACTCAAGAACCTACATTATATTACCAAAATTTGCACAAGGCTGAATTTCTTAAAAGGAATATATTCAGCTCCAATTATAATCAAATGCTTGTTTAGAAAAAAACTGCTCACCTCACAATAATTCTCCATAGCCCCAGAAATCCAATTAACATGGGAAGAATAGATGCAATAATAAGAGCCCCTTGCATCGCTCTCATCGTTTGTTTAAACCGCTTAAAATCCATAACCAAGAAAAGGTGAGAACATGAACTTCAGATACAAAATTCAGATGTCAGATTCCCACATCAGAATAATACAAGAAGAAAGATGAGTTCTAAAGACCTTGGGTTGAAAGGTTAAATTTGAATGCTAGTAAAACCAAGACATTACATGTTCATATGTCTTTGTCTATCATAGTCTATGTGAGAATCTAACAATATCAAAGAGCGGAAGAATATGTCAACAACCTCACGAGGATCAGAATATGAATTGAATCTATCAGATAATGCCACGTATATGACTGGAATTATGAATCTGTACGAGCCACCAATCACAACAGGAAGGCGAGATCCTAACCATGTTTGCAGCAGTGTGTTCACCCCAGCAACAAAGAGCAAAGTTTGTACCAATTCAGCTTTCTCTTTCTGGTAGACAATTGGCCTATAAACTGTGAGCAAATGCATATGGACATGAACATAATCTTAACAAGAAACAAAAATGGCAGGGGCAGAAAACATACATTAGTGCCTCCCATTTGGGGAACAATAATCGTGGGGATGATAACAGTAGTCCCTAGCATGACCAGATAGTGCTGAAACCCGAGGATGATAGACTCCGCTGCATTAATGCCAGGATATACAGATTATGCATTATTCATCAAAGTCTGGTTTTACATACAAGAAATTAAGAATTATATTGTGCAAAATCCATATCCAAATTACATAATTATAAAGGGGAACCCAATTTGTGAAGACATTAAGCATAACCTATTAGTTAGTTCCACACAAAGTCTTATCATCCTATCATTTAATCTTTACTTCTCCAAAATTGGAAGTATTTTGATATCTGTTTGGTGATGATTTGAAACCCATGTATTTTCTTCTTAATCCGGTCATTTAAGTTGGCTAGAATGCATCCTAAAATGGAAAGAGATAAAACCAAGGCAGTCAGTTTGAGTTTTATATTCGGTCTAAGTACATCAATCCATTATCAAATCTAAGAGATAAAATTTCACATGTAATAGTAGTACAATTTTGGAATAAAGAATCTAACAAAGTTGATTCAATGTCAATTTATAAATTATGAAATTTAAGAGATGATCATTTACTAGCTACTAAATGGCAACATGATAAGATTAAAGAGACCATGTTGAAGGAGGGGAAATTGTTATTTTTTCACACTCAGAAGAAAGAAACAGAAACTCATAGAAAGAAATGAGAATGAGAAGGAAGAAATGTCTGTATGAATGTACTCCAGGAAGGGCTGCTGTTGAGACAGTAGAAGACTCCGGGGAGTTGATCTTTCACCGGATGTGGGCCCAATTCCTCCTCCTTAGCGGCCACCTTCATCTTTTTTCTTCAGTTCAATAAAACCTATAGCAGAAAAACTCTGTCTAAAACCTTCAGATTTTCATGTTCATCATTCATGATTAAATGCATGCGTTATGATTTTTTTTCCTGCTTCTGTTATAACTGATGATGAAAGCAAGAAGATGAAAAGATGGGAGAAAGGGATGTTGGAAAAGTTGAACCTGAAACCAGAAACCTTTTCGAATTCTCAGACTAATAAGAGTTTAACTTTTTCTTGAAAAAGGTGAAAACTTTGTGAAGTTTAGATTGCTATAATTTCAGAGAAGAAGAGCTTGATGATACCTTTGATCTGCCTCTCTATCTTCGCAAGAGAGAGTATAATTTGGGTTGAGCTTACTTCAGCAAGAGTGGTGTTTGTACTGCATGAAAGTTTTTTATATTTGAAGTCAAACTTTGTTGTTGTCCTTTTGTCACCAAATTTCCATTATTTCATGCGTTTCTTTCTCAGGAAAGGCAAATCGGTTACTTGGTTGGAATCACCGAATGATTTAACATGAGTTAACTCCAAAAGTCCAAATTGTTAATTAAATTAGAGAAATTTCTTAAATATAATAACACTAATAAAAGAAGGCCAAAGTTCATAAATATAATTATCATTAGTTTTTTGTGGTGAAAGAACAAGTATTATTATTGTATTTTCAAAATATGACTATTTCACTATTACGTACTTTATTATGAGCCCGTTTGGTAGCACGAAAATTGGCTGTTTTGGCTGATTCTGCTGAAATTTATGAAATTCTGGCTGAACTGGCTGTTTTGGCTGATTCTGCTGATTCAAGAAAAAAATACTTTAAAAATATATTTTATTAATAAATTATAGAAAAAATTACATGTAAAAATAGCTAAAATAGTCCTCTACAGTAACTTCAGCCAATACAGCCAGAAAAGTAACTTCAACCTTACTTTTTCTGCTTATTACACAATTCAGCACACAAAAGTAAAAGTTACGTGTTTGGTGAAAAAGCTGGCTGATAAGCCTGATAAGCCGAAAAAAGAGGTCTCCAAACGGGCTCTATATTGTTCTAATCTAATTTTTTCTTTATTAACACCAAATATATTTTATTTAAAGAATAAATATATTTAATCCTATTTTTGTACTTTATTCATGTTAGTAATTAAATTTCTAAAGTATAGATAAGTAAAAATTACTACAGAGTATGTTTTAGAGGAGTATGTTTTAGAGCAAATACTCATATTAGGAGGCAGTTTCTACTATCATATACTACGTATAGAGCTGCATGAAATCTCATAAACAAGTTGTATCCCTCTCCATTTTCTTCTCTCCGTTTCCTCTTTTCATTTCTTTTTTCACTCGATATATTTCCTAAAAAAATTAATTAAACCTACCTTATATTTTTCCCCACCTGCTACTATTTTCTCATCTCTCTCGCTATCTCTCTTCTACTGGAAATTGAAGTTCCCGTCAGAGAGGAGTCAAATTCCTCTCAAACCATGTACTACCATTTCACCACCATTTCAAATGGGTAGCTTCTTGTAAAAAAATGGCTAAGTGAGTGTTTATAAGACTTCAAAAGGCGTTTTCAAGTATTTGGATTAAAAAATGATATAAGTGTTGAGTTTAACACTTTAACTGTTTAAGGTTTCCAAAACCCTCGTTCCTGAGTAGTGGAAATTGCTCAGTAGCCTTCCTTTCTTAGATAGTGTTAATATATTGTTGGCTCAAACGTTTTTTGTATATTAATAATGGTCAACACACTTTCTAGCAGCCCACTACACTGTACCCATTTATCTATCTGGTCTATCAATATTTGCCTCTCCCGTTAGAATTTGAATCTAACGCATTATTGAGCTAGTGATGAGTTGTGTGTGCAGTGTATTATTTGATATGTCCCTCTTGGTGCTAATTTGACTATGTGTGTTGGGCAAGCAGCATAGAGTCAGTTTCCCTCCTTCCTCTTACCCTAATCTGTCTAAGTGTTCGTCTGTGCTTGAATATGTTCATTGATAAGCACAATAATTACTTATGTTTTACATAAGTAATTACATTTATCTGTACAAAAATGTGAAGCGAAAACAGATAAATATTCCCGAGTTAGCAGAAACATGAAATACGACATGGAGCAATGAAAATAGGGTCAAAAGTCAAAAGGGATCAAAAACCGGCACTTCTGGATCAATTTCGGGCATCAAACGAAGAAAAGAAGTGAAGTACAAGATTGGGCGCAGGAACCGGCGCCGAATGCCCTATAACCGGCACCGGTCGTCGGGACTTTTTGCCCAATCCGAGCCTGTTTCCAACCGGCGCAGCGCAATCGGTGCATTTTTGCACCCGACCGACGCCGAACATGCTACAACCGGCACCGGTTGTTCCGATTTTCTGCTAAAACAGACCGACGTGCAGAAGATTTCTGATGGGAAAAACCCATCTTCCTCCATATCTGATCAAATATTGCTTCCATACCCGATTGTTAGGCTCGAATAGACTAAAAGATGCCTTTCTTTAGCCTATATAAAGCCCTTAATTCATCAAGCAATGACATTCCATTCCATAGATTAACTCCTAGCTTTTATATTTTTGTTCTTGGTATTTTCTTCAAGTTCTTGAGGAGGAAACTTCAACCTCCGAAATCATTGGTGTTTAGGTATTATTTCCTTTGTAATTTCATGTTCCATTACATTTCATATTGTATTGTGATTAATATGAGCATTAGAGGCTAATTTCTTAGCTAAGGCTAGGGATGAACTTCTATGCCCACTAGGTGTTTGATAAAAGTTCTAAAGCAATAAATTGTGATTTATCCTTTACATTTTGATTGTTTATGACTATGGTGTACAACATAGAAGTATGTTAAACTTAGTTTATGCTTGCAATTAACGTTGAGGTCTAAACTATGAACATTAAAGGATAAACATATATATTACCGAGAATAGAAATATATCCGGTATTATATGATACGGGTGTGATGTCTTCATATTCAACGGGGTTTTCGGTAGATGAATGTAAGCCGTAACGGGACTTACACGTAACGAAAACCACGCTCTCGCTGCCTTAACTGGAGTTGAGAATATATTAGCGACATCGTATTCATAATTATTGGTAAAGAACTAATATTCACCCATATTAAAGCATTTAAGTGATTCCCGAAGCCTTAGTTGTTGTTATCAATCACTTTAATCAAATTAATTCAAGTTATATCTCTGAAAATTAAAAAGAAGAACCAAGTTGTTGTTTTCACAATAACACACAACTCAAAATCCCTGCACTTTACTCATTTACTTATTCAAAGTCATCTACTCGCGGACTAAATTAAACAACGTTTCCTTGTGGATTCGACCCGGTATTTTACCGGAATTTATTACTATATCGGCACTTGTACACTTGCAAGTTCAGCCCGGTCATTCATGCTGATGTTTGGGGTCCTGCCAGTGTTCCTACCCACGGGGGTAGGAAATATTTCCTTTCTATCATTGATGATTTAGGTGATGTTTTTATGATGAACAATCTATGTGATTATGACTATTTGAGTTCTGTGATATCTGATTCTTTGGATAAATCAGATTGGGTGGTAGATTCTGGTTGTACTTTTCATATGTCCCCTTTGAAAAATGTTTTTTCAAACTAAAGAGAGATTGAGCATGGCTTTGTGTCTTTAGCAAATGAGAAGAAATGCATTGTGCTAGGAATAAGAGATGTATGCCTTAGGTTTTCTTCTGGTTATGTGCTTACTTTGAAGAATGTTAGGCATGTTCCTGAGCTGTGTTGTAATTTGTTATCTTGTGCTTCTCTTGAAAATGAGGGTTTGAAGGGAAAATGGGGAAAGGGAATCATGAAAGTTGTGAAGGGTTGCTTAGTTGTTTTCAAAGCTGAGATGAAGAAGAACTTGTATGTTTGTTATGCTGAACCCGTACTTGATTCTGTGAATTGTGTGCAACCCTGTGTGCTAGGAAAACAGTCTAGAGTTGGTTTTCCTGATCTGCCTAAATGTACTGATGTGCTTGATTGTATTCATGCGGACTTGTGGGGTCCTTATAGTGTTTCCACTCATGGTGGGAAAAATTATTTTCTGACATTGATTGATGATTTTTCAAAGAAAGTGTGGGTTTTGTTGATTGAGAATAAATCTGAAGTTTTTGATAAGTTTAAAAACTGGAAAACCCTTGTTGAAAAACAAACCGGTAAGAAAATTAATTTTTTAAGGACCACTGTCAGTTTTGATTTCTGTGATGATCAGCTTAGAGATTTATGTGATACTTGGGGTATTTCTATGCATAAATCTGTTCCCTCCACACCCCAACCGGATGGGGTTGCTGAGAGGATGGTTAGAACTTTGTTAGAAAGGGTGAGGGCTATGTTAGCTTCATCTGGGCTCTCTAATAAGTTCTGGGGGGAAGCTATTTGTTATGCTGTTGATTTGGTTAATATGTCCCCGTCTGTTCCCTTAGGAGGGAAATGCCCTGAATCTGTGTTCACCGGCAAACCACTCAACTTGCCAAATTTGAGAGTGTTTGGTTGTGCTGCTTATGTGAATCGTGTGAATGATAAATCTGAACCTAGGACTAAGGAATATGTTTTCTTAGGATATCATGATTGCATGAAAGGTTATAGGCTTTGGTGTAGGAGTGAAACTTGCTTCAATGTGTTGATGAGTAGAAATGTCATTTTTGTTGAAAATGAATTTCCTTGCCTGCTTGTTTCTCCTGATGTTGCTCCAAATGAGGTGGAGCATTTGCCTGTTGAAGTTCATTCCGATTTACTTGTTGAAACTAAACCCAAATTTGTGAATGAAAATGTTTTTCATGGTGAAAATAAAGAAAATAATATTTCTATTAAGGTGGAGCATGATATGAATGTTGTGTGCAATATGCTTGAGTTGCGTGATTGCCATGTTACTAGAGATAGAGACATTAGGAAGCATATGAGAAATAATATGTGCAATGTGTTTGACTATATTTCCTCTGAGTCTGCTTTAAATGTGCTTAATTCTCTTTTAATTAAAATCTTTGTGATATTTGGTATGCTATTTTCTTTGTGTTTTGAAAATGAGATACCAAGTGATTATGTGAGCTCTACCTGTGCTAGTTATAGAAATAATATTGTTTCTTTTATTTTCTGTGTACTTGCTTTGTGTGGTTGTTGGATTAGTTGGAATCCCCAACTTCTCCCGGATGCTTGCCTGCGTGGTCTATTGACATACCTTGTGTTTGTTAATAGCATTGTGATGGTTTCGGTTTTGAACTCGAGGACCTTATGGTAGAGTTAAGTCCTTTATGGACTCGGTAAGCTTGGTGATTTTACCCCGAGAGTACTTGTGTCTCTCTATTACTTGTATTGTCTTTGTGATTATACTTGTAATGATCCGGCAATGATGAGTCCGCGGTTCCGTGATTGTCTAAGTGCACTACTTTGGGCCAAAGGTGGAGATTGTTAATATATTGTTGGCCCAAACGTTTTTTGTATATTAATAATGGTCAACACACTTTCTAGCAGTCCACTACACTGTAACCATTTATCTATCTGGTCTATCAATATTTGCCTCTCCCGTTAGAATTTGAATCTAACGCATTATTGAGCTAGTGATGAGTTGTGTGTGCAGTGTATTATTTGAGTGTCCTTATGAGCTCTTCTAATAAAGCCAAAATACTTCCCTGTTATAACCACACCCCCTGCCCCTTTGTTCTGTGTGTGAAACTAAGAGTGTTTCCCCCTTCATCTTCCTCTTGGTGAGTGAAGCTATTATCCTTCTTTGTGAGGTGAGAATCCTTCTTAGTGAGGTTAGTGTGAGTGTTGGCGAGGTTAGAGTGGTGTGTTGCTCCCTTACCTAGGTGTGCACAAGAGACAACCGGAAAACCGAGCTCCGGACTGCCTGAGCCAGAATCCGGTGACAGAATCGATAATCAACAGATAGAGACTCAAGTTGATTTTTCTCGCTTGTCGAGAGACAAGTTTTGCTCGCACATGTCGAGAACTAGATTTTTCTCTCGCGTACGTGTCGAGAGCAGTGCAATGCCGCACTTCCACAAATCAGTTTTTTTTGGCATTTCGATATAATGCAGGGTTAAGAAAGGATAACCATGACTTTTATGGATGATCTAGAGTGACGTTTTCTCACTCCAGCAATTGAGGAGGAGGTCAAAGAGTTAGTTCTTGCGTTGGCGTAATAACATGGGTGGAGGGCAGTGGCGATAGTGGAGGCGGCACGAGTGACGAGCAAACGAGGAGAGGTGAAGGGCTGAGCAAGGGAGAAGACAGATCAGCGGTACGCCTCCCTCCTGAACTGCCGCCTTGGAGCGATCGAGTCAAGGAGCTATGGTTTCGAAGATTTATTAGTTATTTTTTACAGTCTTATTTTCGTGTTATGTTTTACGTTGCTCTGTTTTTTGTTGATGTTTTTAGTTTTAGATCTTCAATATTGATTCACCATTCTACTATATACTATGTCATTATTAGAAGGATTTATATGACCAGTGATTGTTGTGTCACACCTGTTTGGTGGTTAGCAATTTGTATTGATCTTTCGGAGGTGATCGTCTCTGAGTCTAGCTGTATGGTTGATAATGCTAGTTGGTTACCGATTGTTGTTGTCAACATTGGTCTCCTTGAGTTTGTTGTAGCGATCCGAATCATAATGATATTAATATATATAAGCGGGTTTTCTTTTTAAAAAAATATGATATGAATGTTTTAAAGTAGAAATAATGACAAACATATGACAGAAATAAAAGTAGTGGACAAAATATGACTTAGTGACTATCATAGTAACTTTAGTGACCATAATTGTGTTCATTTTACCACTATAGTGACAATGCATAGTAACTATAGTAATATTTTTGGCATCTATATCTATATCTGTATCTATATCTGTATCTATATCTGTATCTATATCTGTATCTATATCTGTATCTATATCTGTATCTATATCTGTATCTATATCTGTATCTATATCTGTATCTATATCTGTATCTATATCTGTATCTATATCTGTATCTATATCTGTATCTATATCTGTATCTATATCTGTATCTATTATCTGTATCTATTATCTGTATCTATTATCTGTATCTATTATCTGTATCTATTATTTGTATCTATTATCTGTATCTATTATATGTATCTATTATATGTATCTATTATCTGTATCTATATCTGTATCTATATCTGTATCTATATATGTATCTATATCTGTATCTATATCTGTATCTATATCTGTATCTATTTATGTATCTATATCTGTATCTATATCTATGGGAGAGATCCCATGCAAACCAAGCTTCCGGTGCTAACCTACAAACCAACAACATCCGCTGGATTAGATCATGCGGACGGCTAGTGATTATTGAAACACGCTGCATGCACTCAGCCGCATGAGAAAAAACGGATAACATCGCTTTATAGCTTTAGGCATTTAAAAGGTCACAAATGTAATTTGTAAAACAAAGATATCCCACTAGCTAATTGATTCGAAAGGTGCTATACTTCCCACCAAACAATTAACAATGCAAATATATGGAAATTATATAAGGTAAGTGCCAGACAAGGTAACCCATGATACGATTGAAGTTAATCACAAAGTGAAAAGTAATTTACCTTTTTGTAATTAATAATTTCTATGAACCAATCGGTTCTTAATAAACCTTTATTTTCGAAACTTAGCTCCTATTATCGAATGAAAAAGTTAATATTTCAACATAAATAGAAGTTTAATATATGTGAGCAGTGCATATTAAGATTAGAGAATATGCATTATATAACATTTTATATCAAGATTACGAGATGTACATCATATATTCAAAATGTGTGCATAAATTATTTTAGAAACTCATATTGATAAAATATGTCAATGTTGTGTTTTATAAGTTCATCATTGCATTTTAGTAAGATAACTAGTGCATATGAGAAGTAAACACACATGCGAACTGCATATTAAGGTTGTGAGATGTGCATTGTATAAGTATAACGTGTGCATATGCATAATAAGGTTATGTGATATGCATATTAAGGATGGAGAGCTATTGATTGCATCTTATCGTTATGATATTTGCATTTTATTATTATGACATTATGACATGTGCATTTTGGAAGTTCGGGATGAAGTTGGACTGTATCGTACCGAGCACAGACAGAGCATTGAGAGGATGGAGGAGCAACGGCGAGCAGACTGGCATAGGTATGAGGAGGACAAGCGGAGATATGAGGAGGATCAGCGTAGGACCTATGGTGCTTTATACTCCTATGTGGCACACCAGAGTGGATTTGCATCTATGGCAAATCCCCCTCCCGCACCCTCTTGGTACGATCAGACTACATGGGGTTATTTTGGAGTCTCGAGTTCCGGTGGTGGAGGCGATGATGGTGGTTATGACGGGGATCACAGGGATGAGGACAGACACCATGGTGGAGGTATGGGCGGGCACTAGGGACTGCAATGAACTAGCTGGGGGGGAGACTGTTCTGGTAAGCTTACATTCACACTCTTTACTTTCTCTAAAAAAATAAATAAATAGCTTGTTAAGTTGAAAACCCACAAAGGGCAACTTAAGCAAAAATAAAACAAAAATAAGAGTGAGTTTGTGAGGATTAAAATAGAAAAATGTGGGAAGCTGGGATGAAAACCCGAAAGGGCACCTAGGCAAAAATGAGATAATGAGAGAAACTATTTCTTTTGACTTTGCAGGATCCTTAGGGTGATGATGAAAGGGAGTTCATGGTTGTTTTGATACTTTTGTTTTGAAGACTTCCTGGACATGATTTGTTTTACTCGAGACAAGTAAGAGTTCAAGTGTGGGGGTATTTGATATGCACTAGTTAGTAGTGCATAAATGTGTGTTTTTATATTTTGTTTTGTGAGGATTGTTTACCATTTGTGTGTAGTTGTAAACATTTGTTTACTTTTATTTGAAAGTGTTTTTAGCTTTTATTTGTGAGTTAGGAAGTTTTGATAGAATTGTTGGCAAGGAAAAGGAAGAAAAACAAGGAGAATGCTGCCCAGGAGTATAAACCCGGTCGGGTAGAAACCTTCACCCGGTCGGGTTTGAATTAACATTTGCAATCCCCGGGAAATTGCTTGGCCCGGTCGGGCCCTATACCTCACCCGGTCGGGTGAGACTTGACCGAGGACAACCCGACGTGCTGAAGAACACTAGAACGTGGAAGATATTTGATTCGGACCGGTACCCAGTCAGATAGATACTCTACCCGGTCGGGTACCCGGCCAAAGGTGTTGAAAAACACCTATAAATAGCACACTTTTCCTTCACTAAAAATAATCCCTTCTTCCATACTCTTAAGCTCAGTTTAGAATAATATTTCTTTATATTTTTATAGCATGTTTAGTCTCCAAATGAGGAGCTAAACTTCCATATCATGGTTTTGCTAGTTTGAAGCTTAATGAATTTGTAAGTTGTGAATTATTCTCTTTAATCTTCTTCCTTGAATATTAATTCTTCCTTTAAATACTATTTCTATATTAATGTTGGGGAGTGTTACTAAGATGACAATTAGTTAACATCTTGACATTAGTTATAGCAATAGCTATTCCTTCCTCTATGTTAATATTGGGGAGTGTTACTAAGATGACAATTAGTCAACATCTTGATATTAACTATAGTAGGGTTCATCTTCTTTAATATTCTTCCTTGAGTATTAATTAATTCCTATTAATATTCCATATTAATATTTTGAGCATTACTTAAAGGATCAACTAGTTTTGTTTCATATATTAATTATTACTAGAATCAATCGGTTAATACGCTTGTTATTAATTCGGTTCTTTCAAT